GATGCTGTGTGGTAAGGTCATGAATAAATTGCTTGAGTCTAGGGTGGAGGAGAAGACCGATAAAAGTACGGTTTCCTGCTGCTGCTAATACGCTTATGAAGAGCACATTAATTTCCACTGGAACACCATTAGGGAAATTAGTTTGTTCTGACAGTTTGTGTTGCTGGATACCATATGTTTACCTTGAGGGAATGTTTATGGAGAACCACTTTGGGTTAATTGTAAATGTCACAATTAAATAAGTAAATATACAGAACTGTATCTGTGATCTGCATCAGTGCACAGACACTGTGTACCAGCACACTGGTGTGCCAGGTAATGTGTGTACATATATAAATATATGCTTTTATGTACCAAACCCATAACAAGCAGCTTATCTGGACACACAGACATCAGGTACAAACAGCACCTGCATTTTGTCTTTCTGACCTGTTTATCAGTACATACATATAGCACTGCACCATGCCCTTCTTTCTATTTAATGCCTGCACTGCGAGCTCTGAGAACAGAGCATCGAGCTTCCCTGTTGCTGGGGACAGGTGTTGCACCTCTAATTCATCTGGCACAAAAAAGGAGAGGAGGGTGAGAGGGAGGAAATCAGAGACGGTGTTAAAAATCTCAGATTAGCTGGAGTCACATTACAGATTATCAAAGGTTCAAATATGTTGCCTTTCAGTGTTGTCACTCCCCCCCTAATAATCTGCACAGGAGCTGAGGATTTTCAGCACCTTGACAGATGAAACCTTAAGAACACTTAAACAAACCTGTCACATAGGTCTTCATCACGCAAACTTGAGGCCAAGTTCAGTAACAGCCCTGTTAGTCCTCTGCATTGCAGAGGCCTTGAAAAATTGATTTTCTGTTTTGCCACTGACTTCAGTGGAACCAGGCTTTAGCCCTCCAAGGCAAATTTATTCCTATAGATTGTAGCTACTTCTGAAATTCTTAATTTCATATCCTTAAATAGTGAAACTTAGAGAGAGACCAGGTAGGAGTGCAGACTTTGCCGGGTGTTATTGACCATTGCTGGGTCATTAGCTCCCTTTATGGTCTGGAATACCCTTTTTTTTCCTTTGAAAATGCATCCCATGGATTTAAAGGCCTGATCCAAAATGTGCAGGAATAAATACAAATCTTTGTATTGAACACCAGAAAAGGATTTTAAAGGGAGCTGGTCGTTGTTTACAGCAATCTAATCCGTTAGGGCAACATTAATCCAGGGAAAACACTTTCTGAACCGTCCAGAGCTTGTTAACACAGCTAACACCTAAGGCAGCAATGTGTCTTTAAGCTCTACTAATATTGTACAATAATAATTTTTGTGGAAGAAAATCTTCCCCTCTCCCTGAACAGAAACAAGACGTATTATTGACTGCCATCCGGAAAGATGTATGCTCTGGCCCTCGTGAGTCTATTAATATTTGATGCTGATGGATGTGAGCTGGCAGCCTGAGTTATTAATGGAGTCTGGTTCCTAGGACCTAACCCTCGATACATAGGGGAGAAATAACAATAACAAGAACTGTATGCCCAAACCTCTTGTGGTGCTACGAAAGTCTGTCATTTAGTCTCAGCAACAATTAGTTAGTATTTCTGAAGTACTTAAAGGTATGGAAGGTCATATAGGTGGTGTTAGTTACATTGCTGCCACCATTCGTTTTGATTTAAAGCTGACTTTTTAGGGTCCCAGGGATCACAGAGCCCTCACCTGTATCTTTGCTATGTTGGGATACTCCCATCAGATTTGGATTTCAAACAAAAAAAGGCGCACTCGTGTTAGCTTCTGCGCAGCTGTGTGAAGATGTGGGACGCCCCGTCCTTGGTGGGACCGAGGCGCCATCTCGCAGGCTGGGGCCAGGGCAGGTGCAGTGCAAAGCAGAGGGCAGGAACACGCTGCTTCACCCGCGCAGCCGGGCATTTACTGGAGCTGGCCCTGATCCCACAGCCCGTAAAGAAAGTTTTTCTATTGATTATGTTAGAGTCAGATTCGACCCCTGAAATTAGGAAATAATACACTGGATAGATCTCAGGGGTCTATTTTGATAAACTGGGCCTTCTAAGTGAAAATGATGAAGAAAATGAAGCACTTTTGAAAGTTTGTGATGTCCATATGGATCATTCTGACTTGGAAAATAGAGATGTAAAATACCAAGTTATTTATAGCCAGATTTCTTAATATAGTTTTAACATTTTCAGGGGTATAGGTTTGATTGAATTAACTACTCCTTCCTATCATGTATACCACATCCAGGCATTTCACTACTCTCATTAACCTCCTGATCTTAATAGAAAAAAGAATAATCAACATAAGGAACACAGCTGTTGATTAATTTTGCTAAATAAGATAGAAACATAAAGTACCATATTGCAAGAGTGAAGATTCAGTACACAACATTTGAAATCCATTTAAGAGACTATATAACTCATTAACAACTGGATAGATGTATACTGCGGCATTATTCACTTGGGCAGGTGGTGAGAGAGAGGTGGAATTTACATATCTTTAGCAGTACCTGAATGCATTTAATTTCATAGGTCATTCTCCCAAATCAAGTTCAAAATGTTAATAACGGGGCGTGCATTTATAATTAATAAAATCTTAGAGCCAGTGCTATAGTTCAAGTGCATTTTCCTCTCATGTAATTAAGAAGTTAAGTGTATTTGGCAGTTGTCACTCAGAGCTCTGAAGGTCTCGCTTGTCAAACCCGGGGATGGAAATCTCATTAAGCCAGCTATTTTTTCAGTTAAGGTTTGTTTGCAAAGCAAGTGCGTATAAGGTGGACAGCCAGAATGACCAACCTCTGTTAGTCCATAAAGTGTAGTATATTAAAGTAAATGCCAAAAGTCAAAGGCATGTTGAATAAAGATGAAACAGCCTGATGTTTAGCTTGCATACAGTACATTTTCTTTGGGATACCCGAAGTGTCTGTGTCTGACTGCCCTCCATGCACAGTAAGGCTGAAGAAAACTGGTGAATCCACACCAGCCTGTTGTGCGCGTGGCCAGGGAGAACTTGGCGCACAACACGAGCTGATCTGCGGTCACGGAGAGCCGGCTGAGGAGTTGGAAATCCACCTTCTGCTTCCCCCCGTGGCCCAGGTGCTGTTTTCGTTAATCTGGTTCCCAAGGGGATATTTTAGCTCCGCACTACCTCTTCTGCTTTCCTTTTCAAAGGAATTTTCTTTTACTTCTAGACCACTAGTTCAAATCCAGATAAGGTCAGTTGTCATAGAAATTATTAGCAGTACCGGCAGTTCTGTGTTGTACACGGAATGAGTTGGGAGTTTCATTCACACAAGATACAGCTTTCTAAGTGGCAATAATTGGCTGTCTAATTGCCACACACAGGAGAAAGGCAGAGGATTGATTAGGCGTGGAGACTGAATGCCCCTCTGCCATCCCGCTCGGCTCTGGGCTCCTGTAGCTCATTCTGTAGGCATGCTGGCAGGGTAATGAGGGGCAGCATGCTTTGGATATTCTGGCTGTCAAGGCAGCACCTTTTACTGCCAGGCCTTTTCAGGCCAACTTGTTTTACTCCACCAAGGTCAAAGATAGCATCTTTTGCAAACACCGCTTTCACTCAAAAATCAGAGAGTTGTAGGATTTACTTCTGAGCGGTACATATTTTAACCATTTCTTTTACTTTCCCCTAAACCAAAGTTTTTAGTATAAAATAGGATGAGTCATACTGGTGCTAGGCAGAACTGCTACAGCAAGCATATGGGGGTTTATGGTGCTCAGAAATCTGTTCATATTTCCTTTTACTCTCTCAGTGTCTGATGCTGTGATATACAGGCTCCTGGAGGTACTTGCCATGGTGTAGGGAAGCTGACATTTCATGCATTTATCTCCTGATAAATGGATCCTCCTATCAAACAGTGAAGCCTCTCACCTGCAAAAATACATTTTGACCAATATCTTTTCCCCTGAGCTATGGTATAGGTCACACTGTGCAATGTAGTTACTATTTAACTTTGGAGTAGGATAGCTTTCTCTGACATAGAACTAAATTATTAAAGTTTGACTCACTGAAGAAGTAAATTTAGGAGCTAATTTGTGATGTGAAAGTCAGGACTGCACAGAGAAGAAAAAGGAGCAAAAATACCTTGTATATGCTAACGTATGTGGACCTGACTGTGGGACTCAGTAAGTAGGTTTAAAGGAATTGTGCTCACATTTTAATTCTCTTGTTGTATCAGATGAACAATATTAGTAAGAACCGTGTCTCTCCTTTCAGCCACACAAGCTAATCAGTGCACACAGCATACCGTAATTTACTGTTGAAATATTCTATATTTCTGTAACATTTAAGTATTTACTCTCCCTCACTTTCCCCACACCTAAAGCAGAAATCGGGCAGAGGCTGTCTGTTCTGTGTTCTGCTCTGTGTGCCTCCTCTCTGACATATGTATCACTCCTCGTTCAGCGTTCCTCCTAAAGTCACAATCTCATGCAAATGAATTGAAAACAAATGCATGTACCAGCTACGCATCAAAAGGGTCTGATGCACCTGCCATGTAGTTTGCCTCTCTGCCGGCCTGTGGAAGATGAGCACGTACGAGATCCTTTACCTATTTAACAACACTATTCTTAGAATATATTTTCCAAGAAATGCAGAGCAATCTTTACACGGTTTCAGACTGTATATTTTGTGATTAGTGTTTCGTAAGTGATGTTTTGCTTAATGATCTAACATCTGTTCTAGGAGGTTTGTTTTTGTAACTTCCCCACCTCCTG